GATCCGCAATCTATACAGGTCCATGGCTTCTGCGATGCAAGCCAGCGCGCTTACGGAGCGTGCATATACATACGCACCAAGCTCGAAGGCGGCGTATATCACGTGGAATTATTATGCTCGAAATCTCGCGTTGCTCCTCTTAAAACGGTATCGCTGCCTCGTCTCGAGCTTTTAGCGGCATTATTGTTAGCCAGACTGGTTAAGAAAATCAGTACGTCGATCAATTTATCCGAGATGCAAACCTTTTTCTGGTCAGACTCAACGATAGTCTTAAATTGGATAGCCTCGCCTTCCCGAAGATGGTCAACCTTTGTGGCTAACAGAATCAGTGAAATTCAGAGCTTGACTGACCCCTCCGATTGGCGTCACGTCAAGTCATCCAACAATCCCGCTGACATTTTATCGCGTGGTTTAGACCCGCAGGAGCTAGCGAATTCTTCAATGTGGTGGCATGGCCCCTCGTTTCTAGAGCTAAACGATGATCGTTGGCCTAGCTCCGAATTCTCACGCACATTAGAAGGTCTTCCAGAACAGAGGAAGTGCTTTTCGGCCGTCGCCGTATTAAATCACCTTATCGTCAATGACTTACTAATTAAACATTCAAATATCAACAAGGCATGTCGCATATTAGCGTATTGCCTAAGAATTTCGAAGGCCCGCCGCCCGATTGCACCTAGTACCTTCGTATCTCATCAAGAAATTTCCGTCGCACTACGGATCATGTGCAGGTCGGCGCAGGCTCAAGCCTTTTCCGCGGAACGCAATGCATTGTGCAGGGGCGATGCCATTAGCGCATCTAGTCATATAGCATCTCTATCCCCATTTATAGACAAGGAGGGATTAATTCGAGTAGGCGGTAGATTGGTTAATTCAGATCTGAATTTCGACGCGCGCCACCAAATTCTATTACCGCGAAATCATATTTTGACTCAACGCATACTAGAACACGAGCACACACGCAGCGCTCACGCTGGTGTGCAAGCTACCATGGCGGTGGTAAGGCAGCGTTTTTGGCCGATATCTCTGCGTTCAACCGCGCGAAAGATAATAAAAAATTGCGTGACGTGTTTCAAGATAAGGCCCGTCCACTCGGAGGCTGTCATGGGTCCGTTGCCGGCAGGACGCGTCACCGTTTCGAGACCGTTCACTCATTGTGGTATCGATTACGCTGGCCCATTCATGATTCGCGAATCGAAGCGACGCAACGCACCAAGTCGAAAGGCATATCTAGCGATCTTTGTATGCTTCGCTACTAAAGGCGTGCACCTCGAACTCGTTAGTGACCTGACCTCGGACTCCTTTATCGGCGCTCTTAAACGTTTCGTCTCGCGTAGGGGAAAACCCTCTTGTATATATTCCGACAACGGAACCACATTCGTCGGGGCTCAAAGGCAGCTCAAGGAATTCTTTGAATTCTTGCGTGACGACCGTATCCAAACTGAAATTGCGCACTTTTTACGCGATCACGAAACCGCGTGGAAATTTATTCCACCCAACGCACCTCACGTTGGCGGGTTATGGGAAGCTGCCGTTAAGTCCGCTAAGTACCATTTGTACCGAATCATCGGAAAGTCACCATTGAACTTTGAGGAATTGCAGACAATATTCTGCGAAATAGAGTCTATTCTGAACTCACGACCTCTTACGCCACTTAGCAACGATCCTAACGATCTTGATTACCTAAGTCCTGGTCACTTTTTGATTGGCACCGTCTTAAATAGTTTTCCTTACAATGATCTAACCGATGTAAACGAGAATAGGCTAGTGCGCTGGCAGCGAATCGAGCAGGCAAGACAACACTTTTGGCGCAGGTGGAGCCAGGAATACCTGCACACCCTACAGGAACGCTCCAAGTGGAGAACCAACAAAGGCGATCAGCTAAAACCTAACCAAATGGTATTGTTAAAGCAGCAGGGTCTGGCGCCCCTTCAATGGTTGCTGGGTCGCGTTCAGGAAGTCCATCCAGGGGCTGATAAGGTCGTGCGAACGGCCACGATTCGTACGGCGAAGGGCTCGTTTACCAGACCATTAACCAAAATTGCAATTCTGCCCATAGACACGTAATAGTTGCCTGATTTCTCTAGTTGCCTGATTACTCGAATTAATTATAGGTTTAACATAGTTTTAAGTTTTGCGTTAATTTTAAGTTTGCGTAATTTCATCGTCATAATGTTCGCCGCGTTGCATCTTTATGAAGCTCAAGTCAAATGTGCATTATCCTCGTTTCGCTAATTTTAGTCAATGTAAGTTCTCCTATTTTCAACCTATAGCTATTCTCTTCTTCAGCGAATTATTTTTACTTTTTCGGATTTTTTTTGCTCATTGTAATCACTGCTTATGATGCGATTCTGTAACTGCGTTTTTTGAAAGCATATCCTTTCAACAGGGGGAGCATGTTTAGTATTAAAGCGATGCGCTCGCCCTATCTCGCTCTCGCGCAGCGGGTCGCCTTTTCACGGTCTCGTCACGCGTCTTATTCGTGATTGTTCGGCGACTGTCGCGA